GCCAGCGACCCGCGGGGGCGGCTTCAGCCCCCCCGCAGGGTACTAAACCAGACAGGCCCTCGTGCCCCACCCACGCTTCCTCCGTTGCTGAGCGAGAGGAAGCGGCTCCCCTGACCTCTCGGGGCGCGGCCCTAGCGGCTCCAGCCCTGGGGTCGCGCCGGCCCCTCCAGTCACCTTTTAAGGGTGACGGACGTCAGCGCTCAGGGTTCCTCACGCCGCTAGCCCACCTGGACAGGCGTACCGAGGACCTCGCCTCTGTCTCGAGATCCTCGGCGGATGTCACTGAGCAGCCACCTCTCACCGACCGTGAAACCGAGCTGTCACAGGCTATGGCTGCCCTTCAGCAGAGGTGCTTAGCTCTCGCCGCGGACCTCGCCGCTGCCCAAGCTCGTCAAGGTCCTCTACTCCAGCGCCTCCACAGCGCTGGGCGAGCCTTCGCCGAGCTGCTCACGACCTCGCCCGATGGTGTCGTGCCGTCACTCAACATCCAAGCTATGTTGTCATCGTTCCGCGGCGCTCCACCTGGTGCCCCGCGCTAATCTCCTCCTTTCTGCCTGCCCGTGTGTACGTGTGGCTCCGCGTCCACGGTGTCAGGGCGTGGGGGCGGGGGGTGCCCCGTCACTGCGCGCCGCTTAGCGGCCATGCGCCCAACTGGCGGTCCGCCAAGCCGCCTAGCCACGTGCCAGCACGTCGCCTTTCTTGTTGGGGCCTTTTACCTCACGCGGTCTGTCAGGTGAGATCTTCATCGTCTGTCCGCCGTCTGTAGCGTCAGTCGCACTGCGCCGGGGGAGGGGGGTTTGTAGCCCGCCCTCGTATCTTAAGGCTGCACCGCCGCAAATAGTGCTTGCGAGTTGTCGCACCGCAGTGCGCCTCGCGGACGGACCCTGGTCCGCCTACTTGTCCGATCTCTCTCTCTCTCTCTCTCTCTCTCTCTCTCTCTCTCTCTCTCTCTCTCTCTCTCTCTCTCTCTCTCTCTCTCTCTCTCTCGCTCTCTCTCTCTCTCTCTCTCTCTCTCTCTCTCTCTCTCTCTCTCTCTCTCTCTCTCTCTCTCTCTCTCTCTCTCTCCTCTCTCTCTCTCTCTATCTCTATCTCTCTCTCTCTCTTCTCTCTTCTCTCTTCTCTCTTCTCTCTCTCTCTCTCTCTCTCTCTCTCTTCTCTCTTCTCTCTTCTCTCTCTCTCTCTCTCTCTCTCTCTCTCTCTTCTCTCTTCTCTCTTTCTCTCGCCTGTCTCCTCTCTCAACTCCCCCTCTCTCTCTCTCTCTCTCTCTCTCTCTCCGCTCTCTCTCTCTCTCTCTCTCTCTCCTCTCCCTCTCTCTCGCTTCCTCTCTCTCTCTCTCTCTCTCTTGCTCTCTCTCTCTCTCTCTCTCTCTCTCTCTCTCTCTCTCTCTCTCGTCACGGGCTCGTGAGATCAGCCAGGGTGGCTTCCCCTTGGGGCTCCCAAATGATGCCCCTGGCAGCGTATAATAATAATAATAATAGCAATAATAATAATAATAATATAATAATAGTAATAATAATAATAATAATAATAATAATATACATATATATATATATATGTGGAAACATACGTAAGACATGTAGGATTGTGTACACAGAAGAAGGACAAGCTATAGAAACATATGTACGTCGTCCAAGCCGCCTCGGAAGGCGCCTCGGAAGGCGCAGAATACTCCTCCAAGGCGCAGAATCATGTTCCCGGACCGCCTTCCGGGAACATGAAGGGGACGACCTCCTGAGGGCCTCCAGTGGGCCTCTTGGGGGCCTCTCGGAGGCCTGTGGGGCTCTCCTGGAAACGTCTTGGGGCGCGCTCAGAGCCATTTTTGGGCATATTGGGGGCCTCTCGGGGGCCTCCAGGGAGGCTCTTGGGGGCCTCTTTAGGGCCTCTTGGGGCCTCGCGGGGCCCTCTTGGGGCCCGCTGGGCTCGCTTAGGCAGTTTTGAAGCCCTGTCGGGGCCCTCCTGGAACCGTTTTGGGCGGCTCCTGGGCCATCTTGGGGCTCTCCTGGGCTGTCTTGGGACGATTTTGGGGGTCTCTTGGGCCGTCTTGGGGCGGTCTCGGGGGCCTCTTCGGCCGTCTTGGAGCGGTTTTGGGAGACTCTTGGACGGCCTATGTGTATGGATAATATATATGTGTATATATATACATATATCTGTATATACATATACATATATATATACATATACACACACATATATACATATACATCTATATATATACGGAAGAAATTGAAATGCGCGGAAGGAAGTGGCACGACTCGGGAGGGCTTGGGGGAGGGGTATATATATAAAAATATAAATATATATGTATATATATGAATATATACATACACACATAAACATATACATATACATGTACATGTACATATACCTGTACATGTACATATACATAAACATATACATATACGTATACATATACATATACATATACATATACATATACATCTACGTATAGATATACACATACATATACATGTGCATATATATATATATATGAACATACGTAGGACATGTAGGATTGTGTACACAGGAGAAGGACAAGCTATAGAAACATACGTCCGTCGTCCGAGGCGCCTCGGAAGGCGCCTGGGAAAGCGCAGAATACTCCTCCAAGGCGCGGAATCATGTCACCGGACCGCCTTCCGGGAACATGATGGGGACGACCTCCTGAGGGCCTCCAGTGGGCCTCTTTTTATATATATATATATATATATATATACAGAAACATACGTAAGACATGTAGGAGTGTGTACACAGGAGAAGGACAATCGATAGAAACATACGTACGTCGTCCAAGGCGCCTCGGAAGGCGCCTCGGAAAGCGCAGAATACTCCTCCAAGGCGCGGAATCATGTTCCCGGACCGCCTTCCGGGAACATGATGGGGACGACCTCCTGAGGGCCTCCAGTGGGCCTCTTGGGGGCCTCTCGGAGGCCTGTTGGGCTCTCCTGGAGGCGTCTTGGGGCGCGTATATATATATATACACGTATATATATGTATGTATGTATGTATGTATGTATGTATATGTATATAATATGTATATATATATATATGTATAGGGAAGAAATTGAAATACGTGGAAGGAAGTGGCACGACTCGGGAGGTCTTGGGGGAGGGGTATATCATACAAGCACAATAACTGTATATATATATTATATACATACATAACATACATACATACATACATAACATCCATACATACAATACATACATACATACATACATTACATCATATGATACATGTTTTTCATACATACATACTCTAGCGGCTCCCGCCCCTGGCATACATACATACATACATAAAAACATATCTATATAATATAATAATAATGTTCGACGAAACGTAGTAAGAAAATGTTCAAACAGTACACAGGAGGATGGGCAATATATGGGAAACATACGTACGGTCGTCCAGGCGTCTCGGAAGGCGCCTCGGAAAGCGCAAAAATACTCCTCCAAGGCGCCGAATCATGTCCGGACCGCTCCGGAATTGGGCTTTCCTGAAGGCGTCTTGGGGCGCGCTCAGGGCAATGTTTGGGCATCTTGGGGGCCTCTGGGGGCCTCCGGGGAGGCTCTTGGGGGCCTCTTGGGGGCCTCTTGGGGCCTCGCAGGGCCCTCTTGGGGACCGCTGGGCTCGCTTAGGCAGTCTTGAAGCCCTGTCGGGGCTCTCCTGGAACCGACTTGGGCAGCTCCTGGGCCATCTCGGGGCTCTCCTGGGCCGTCTTGGGACGATTTTGGGGGTCTTTTGGGCCGTCTTGGGGCGGTCTTGGGGGCCTCTTCGGCCGTCCTGGAGCGGTTTTGGGAGACTCTTGGACGGTCTTGGAGCGTCGGAACCCCGAATAAGCGAGAAGGATGGTAATGTAGATGTAGATGTAAGATGTAAGAGAGTGTAGATTTAATGTAGATGTAGATGTAGATGTAGATGTAGATGTAGATGTAGAATGTAGATGTAGATGTAGATGTAATGTCGATAGTCGATGTAGATGTAGGCGTAGGCGTACATGTAATGTAGCTGTAGATGTAGAATGTAGAATGTAGCTGTAGCTGTATGAAGTAGATGTAGATGTAGATGTAGATTAGTGGTAGATGGAGGTGTGATGTCTATGTAGATGTAGATTTAGATATAGCTGTAGCTGTAAGATGTAGATGTAGATGAAGATGTAGAAGTAGATGTAGATGTAGATGTAGATGTAGATGTAGATGTAGAAGTAGATGTAAATGTAGGTGTAGATGTAGATGTAGATGTAGATGTAGATGTAGATGTAGATGTGGATGTAGATTTAGATGTAGATGTAGATGTAGGTGTAGGTGTAGGTGTAGGTGTAGGTGTAGATGTAGATGTAGATGTAGAGGTAGATGTAGATGTAGATGTAGATGTAGATGTAAATGTAGATGTAGATGTAGATGTAGATGTAGATGTAGATGTAGATGTAGATGTAGATGTAGATGTAGATGTAGATGTAGATGTAGATGTAGATGTAGATGTAGATGTAGATGTAGATGTAGATGCAGATGCAGATGCAGATGCAGATGTAGATGTAGATGTAGATGTAGATGTAGATGTAGATGTAGATGTAGATGTAGATGTAGATGTAGTTGTAGATGTAGATGTAGTTGTAGATGTAGATGTAGATGTAGATGTAGATGTAGATGTAGATGTAGATGTAGATGTAGATGTAGATGTAGATGTAGATGTAGATGTAGATGTAGATGTAGAAGTAGAAGTAGATGTAGATGTAGATGTAGATGTAGATGTAGATGTAGATGTAGATGTAGATGTAGATGTAGATGTAGATGTAGATGCAGATGCAGATGCAGATGCAGATGCAGATGCAGATGCAGATGCAGAAGTAGATGTAGAAGTAGATGTAGATGTAGATGTAGATGTAGATGTAGATGTAGATGTAGATGTAGATGTAGATGTAGATGTAGATGTAGATGTAGATGTAGATGTAGATGTAGATGTAGATGTAGATGTAGATGTAGATGTAGATGTAGATGTATATTTAGATGTAGATGTAGATGTAGATGTAGATGTAGATGTAGATGTAGATGTAGATGTAGATGTAGATGTAGATGTAGATGTAGATGTAGATGTAGATGTAGATGTAGATGAAGATGTAGATGTAGATGTAGATGTAGATGTAGATGTAGATGTAGATGTAGATGTAGATGTAGATGTAGATGTAGATGTAGAAGTAGGTGTAGATGTAGGTGTAGGTGTAGATGTAGATGTAGATGTGAGTCTCGCTGTTGATGTAGATGTAGGTGTAGATGTAGATGTAGGTGTAGATGTAGATGTAGCTGTAGGTGTAGATGTAGATGTAGATGTAGGTCTAGATGTAGATGTAGGTGTCGATGTAGATATAGATGTAGATGTAAAGAACTCCCCAGTGCCCCGACCTCATCTCCGTGCCTGCTTGCTTTTGCTGCTGTCTCGGCGACTTGCTGACTGCTTCTGCTGCTGCTTCACTTACGGCGTGGCGTCGGCGGTTCTGGCGCTACTACTACTACTACTACTACTACTACTACTGCTACTACCGCTACTGCTACAACTACGACGATGAGGAGAAGGAGGAGGACGGCGTTTACCGCTCCTACTAATGTTGCTTTCCTAGAGGCTCCAACTCCTAGGTAGGGTCGCACTGGGATAATTTTGACTATTTTTGAAGATTCCTCCTTTAGAGGGACAGGCGCGACTTAAGACTGGGTCCTGGAGCAAGTGGGGGGCTTTCCTCGCGAGACAAATAGGAGACGAAGACGACGGGGCCTCCACCCGCGCCCCGCCGTCGGCCAGGATCACGGAAGCGCCGACGTACTGCATGTCGAAGAAGGGGTCGGCCCAGTCCGCGATGCCTCGCCCGGCGCCCCCCCGAGCTCGCCACCGTCGCCGCCGCCGAGGACACGAGGATCGGGTCCCCCTCCTCCTCACCTTCGACCTCCTCCTCCTCCTCGACCCCTCATCCTCCTCGACATCTTCGCTCCTCGCTCCTCGCTCATCCGTCCTCCCTCGTCATCCTCCTCATCCTCATCATCCTCATCATCCTCATCATCATCCTCATCATCATCATCATCCTCATCATCCTCACCATCATCCTCATCATCATCCTCATCATCATCCTCATCATCATCATCATCATCCTCCTCCTCGTCATCATCATCATCATCATCCTCATCGTCCTCATCATCATCATCATCCTCATCATCCTCATCATCATCCTCATCATCATCATCATCATCATCCTCATCATCCTCATCATCATCCTCACCATCATCCTCATCATCATCCTCATCATCATCATCATCGTCATCATCGTCCTCATCCTCATACATCCTCCCGCCTCCCTCTTCTTCCTCTTCCTCCTCAACCTGCTCCTGCCTGCTCCCCCTCCTCTCTCCCTCCCTCGCGCTCCATTCCTCTACGCTTACATGTTACCCCTCCTAGTTTGACCATCAGACGTGTCGGTAGGGCGGGCTGGGCACTTCGTCCGAGACATCCTCCCCGCTTATGATCCCGAGACTTGACAAATCCAACAGGTACACGGATGGAGGGGAGGGGGTCAAAAAGCTCAAGGAGGAATGTGCATTACACCCCGGGAAGGGGTCGAGACCTCCACGGGGTGGACCGGGAAAAGCACGAAACATGGGAGGCGATCAGAACATTCTCAAAAGTGGAGTTGCTCGTCTCGGGCGGTTTTCAGAGGCCTCCGAGGGTAGTTCTCTGAAGGTCACCACACGCCTACTTGATCCCCTGTTGGCGAAGAGAGGGGGGGCGGAGATCAGGAGGAAAACTCTCGGATCCAAGCGTCCTGGAAAAAGCATGGCAGGTGTTCTCGCTCCGCTTCGGGCGCCAAGATTCTCATGGACCGATCCACTTCGAAAAAATAGGTAGAGGGATGACATCGAAAGGTGGTTGAGACTTGTGTTCGGCCTGGCAGTTTCTCACGAAGCGGGATCTCGGGAGAGGAGGAAAAGAAGGAGAAATATGGAAGGTACTGTCCGACCAGTCATGCGAACATCCATGTAAAAAGGGTTGGGTCGCTCGTCAACGTCCAAGATGGTACCTGATGCACAATATGAGAATTATCCTGTTGTCGGCTTGCCGATCAGCCACATGCCCCTCCCCGGTGGCTCCACTGAGGGCCTGCCTGGGCGGCATACTTCGGCCCCCCGCGGGCGCACGGCACCTTGCGCAGGCAGGAGAGCGACACAACCCTGCTTAGTGGAAGAAGACGACGACGACGACGACGACGAAGACGAGGAGGACGAGGGGCACAGGGCGCACCTTCTTTGCATGTCAGCATCCTGCTCGCGCGAGCACGTATCCTCCCCAGGCCGACCATTCTTGGCGCGGTGGCAGTGGTAGTGGCCCACGCCAGCCAGGGCAGTGCGCAGGAGGACCTGCAGCACGACGTAGACCCACCACCTCCCAGTCGATCTTCAACCAGGGCGCCCTCTCCTCCTCATGAACATCCTCCTCCTCCCCTCCTCCTCCTCCTCCTCCTCCTCCTCCTCCTCCGTTCCTTTTCCTCCCTGCTCCTTCGACCCTCCGTCCCTCCCTCCATCCCTCCCTCGCTCCCTCGCTTCTTCCCTCCCTCCCTCCCTCACTCCCTCCCTCACTCACTCACTCACTCACTCTTCCCCAACTTTGGCATTCCTCCCTGTTTCCACCTCTCTCTCTTCTCGGTCGGCGGCGGACGGAAAACTTGTGAGGCTACCCCCGACTGAGCGCAAGCAGAGGACAGACGGGGAGACGCGGACCCTGGACAGCGCAGCAGTACCTCCCTCTGAGATACCTCCCGCCCTCTCGCCATGTGTTCCCTCTCCGTCGTCTCCCCCGCCCTCCATCCCTCGTACAACTCCCCTTCCCACTCCTCCAGTATCCCTTCCCCGTCCCTCCTCCCTCCCTCCCTTCTACCTCCTCACCAGTCCGTCCATCTTCCCTAGTGCCTTTTGCTCCCTCCATCATCCTCCCTCTTCCCCCTGCCCTCATGATTCCCTCTCCGCCCTCCGCTCTCCTTCCTCCGTCGCAGCGCTCCCTCATCTTTCCTCATTTCTCCACCCTCGCTCCTGCATGCTTCTCCCTGACTCCCCTCATACTCCTCCTCCACCTCCTCTTCTGACTCCTCCTCTGATTCCTCCTCATCATTATTTTCGTCGTCCGTTTGCTGACCAGCCCAACCATACTCATACACTTTCTCCTCCCATTCCGTCTACTCACGCCCCCATTGATACTGAACTCGGCGTCGTCATACGTGAATACCATTGACATGTGATGTCAGCGCGTGGTGCCCAAACAAATCCGACGACCCTTCGGCGTGTGGAAGACGATGTCGTCGAGGAAAACGAGCGTCGTAGTTAAGTCGAAGGGATGTTCTTTCCCTGCGTGGGGGTCCAGGGTCAGAATACCACCCCTGGGGGGGCCCGGCAGATCCCTGGAGGGGTCGCCAGCGGGGGTCGCGGGGGTGGCATCAGGGTCGGCGGCACCAGCCGTAAGGCCTTCGCAATAATCGCCAAGGCAACAAACAGGTGCAACCTATGGCGTGCATCATGTGATACGTAACATATGGAGTCCAACCTATGATGCGCAATGTCTGAAGTGCCAGACAGAAAGAGAGTAAGACAAGGAGAGGGAAGGAGGCGGTCGTCCAAGACCCGCACCCCTAGCTCGCCCGCCCAAAGCTCACACCCCCTGCCCACGGCAGCAGCTCGAGGTATACCGCGGGGAAGGACACGAATGCGTGGACGGAGAAGAGACAGATCGCCGTGGCATCGAACACCTTGTTGGCAAGGCGTAGCCTGCGCACCTGCGGGACTCGAGCTGACACACACACACACACACACACACGCTCTGCTCAGTCCGCTGGAACGCAAAACGCTTGGGGACCTCTGGCCAGGCTGGAGTCTCGGGTGCTACTTACCTAAGCGGTGGGAAGGCGTGCGGGCACGAGTGAGACAGTCTGAGACGTTCCGGTTGAGAAATTGACCCCTCCCCCAACCCCCTTCCCTGGGTCTGGACAGGGCGCACTCAGCGAGTGGTTAGAGCGTCCAAGATGGTCCAAGATGGCGCCAGGTCCAAGATGGCACAATATGGTGCAAGATGGCTCAGGATAGCCCCAAATATACCTCCACGAGGTCTCAAGACCACCCCAAGCTGTCTCCACGTAGCCACGGAGCCTCCCCAGGACGCCCCCGAGAGGACTGAATCCTTCCAAAACCTGGGGAAAACCAATTATGTGCATTCCGCCTTTTTGCTTCCGATGGGATTTTGCAGCCCAAAGATGACCCCAAGATCGCACAAGTGAGCCCCAAGAGAGGCCCATCAGGGCTACAAGAAAGCCCCAAGAGCACCCAAAGGCGCCCCAAAAACGTCCCAAGAGGAACCGAAGAAGGGATTGCTCGGGCTCAAGTAAGGCAACGATCATCCACGCCGCTCACTTCGCTCAAAGCCAAAATCATTCAACCACCATGGTTGTTCAAGCATGTTGGCATCTCAGGGGCATCCTTGAGAGGCTGTTGGGCCAAGGTGATTCCAAGATGGCTTCAGATAGCTCAAAACGGTCTCCAAGATGGCGCAAGATGACCCGATATGGCTCAAGAAGTCCTCCAACATGCCTCCAAAAGGCCCCTGGACCGCCTCAAGATGGCTCCAAGGAGACCCCAGAGATGCCAAAATCATGTAAAAGTCGAACGCGCTCAATGTGATCCGATGGGCCTTTGAAGCCTCGAGATGACCCCAAAATCGCCCAAGAGAACCCCAAAAGGGGCCGGACGAGATCCAGCACGCCCCCAAACCAGCCTAGGAGCGCCCAACAGGCGAGCTCTCGGGCTCCAGAGGGGTGGGGATAATCAAGGGCCCCCCGTCTTGGATCGATGCCGTCAAAGTTGGTCCAAAGACAGCGCCTAAGCTAAGGCCCCCGAAACGGCCCTGAGAGGGCCCCGAAGCTCCCAAACTGGCCCCAAGAGGGCTTCAAGATAGCTCCAAGAGGCTTCCAAGAGGCTTCGATAGCGAAGCATTCTGCTCATGGTAGAATCCTGCAAGCATCGTCGTCCTCTTCCGCATGTTTTTCTTGATGTCGCCGACGAAATCGGCCCACTCCCCCTCCATCCGCGGTACCGAGCAGACCCACGAACGTATGAAGCACACCTGGAGTACTGGCCCATGCGCTCGGTTTTTGGTACACACTGGTGAACGCACTACGCCATTGACGCATTTTTTGGCGTCGCGGCCACGCGCGCAGTGACAGGGCGGAGCCAGGCAGACCCATGGAGGGGAGCCGCACGGAGCGGCGCATTGGCCGCGGCTGGGCCCAGTGGCACACACCTTCTGCCGTCGCGGCCACGCACGCACCGGCACGGCGTAGTACAGGTCGAGCGAGAGCGAGACGCGCGCGGGCCGGCCCAGATCACGCGGCATGAAGATGCGAGATCCACCCATAGGGCATCAGCAACATCACTCGCGAAGGGGTGGTCGCGAGGAGGCCACCGGGGGGAAGGGGGGGAGACGGGGAGGGGAACTGCACGGGAGCAGCGCAGCAGTGCGAGACAGACAAGGAAGAGGCGCAGAAGCGGCCCGCGACGACGTGCGCACACAGGGCGAAGAAGCAGACAGCAATGGAAGCCCTGTGGTCATGAAAGCACAGGCCATCGACACTCACTAACACAGACATACATACATGGACACACGCACCTTCTTCGCGTCGCGGCCACGCGCGAGGCGGCGCGGCGTAGAAAAGGGCTGGAGAGAAACGCATACATACGCATGTTGTAAGGCGGCGGCGCAGAGGACCCTCAGCCGCGGACGGCAGATGAAAGTGCCAATTGCGAACGAACGCAGTCGGACGCGCCATGACGAAAGAACAACACAGCCGTGCAGAAAGTTGATGTGAAAAATAGATGCTGTGAAGCCACGAGGCAGCGACCAAACAAACCACGGAACGTGCGGAAAACTTGAAGCGCGGGCAGCAGACTGATGCTACTTGTAGCCTCCGAGGGCAAAAAAAAGCGAACTGCAACTGTGGCAGACGAACCGACGAGGAAGCGCACACGCAAAGCCACTGCCCTTGCGCAGGCAAGGCAAAGATTGAGGCGACCATGCACTGGGTGCATGGGGTCGGCGTGATAAACGGTGATCACGCGTCCAAGGCTGACTTGGACTTCACACACACACACACACACACACACACACACACACACACACACAAACAGCCAGCGACGGCAACAGGCACACACGCAACCGCAGATGCGGCCACATGGGTGGTGTGAAGGCAAGCGCGGATGTGCGCGCAGCAGCACACGCCACCAGAAAACCAGCACCATCGACCCGCCCGGCTGGCCGAAAGGCTGCGATAGCAACACCGACCACAGCGAATTGGTAGTGTGCCGCACAAGCAGCGCAGAAAGAAACGCAAGGTGCCCTGTATGCACCACCGACCGGTCGCCACCAAAACGACCAAGAACGTTTCGAAAAGAGAAGACGACAGCTTGACGCCAGCACACCCCGGCATCCAAGAAACATCACATGCAGGACAGACCTCGGCGGAGGCAAGCGCGCGACCACCACAAAGGGCCCACCCCCACACGGAGCCAGGAACCCCGACCAAGCGCGAGCAGCTCGGAGGGGGCCCTGAAGCACAACGCCAGAAAGCGACCCCAGACGCAAAAAGTACGAGAAAAAAACCATCGGCGAAACCACCGACGAGCGATCGAGAAGGGCGGCACCCCGCGGTGGGGACGACCCAGAAGGAGGGGACAACAGAGGGGCGGCGGCAAGAGCAAAAGCCGAGGATGGGCCCGGAGAGCGACGGCGGAAGACCCCACGACACGGCCAACCCGCGACGGACCGACGGCGGCGAAGGCCGAGCGAGCCCCGCGGCCCTGGGAGGGGGGGACCGACGAACCACCGCGGGGGACGTCAGCGACAGCGGAAAAACAGCTGAAAGACTGCCAGGTCCTCATCCCAGAAAGGACAGCGGCGGGCGCGCCCAAAGCACCATGCAGATGCTAGAAAAAAAAGAAAAACAAAAAAAAATAACAAAAAAAAAAAAAAAGAGAGGCCGCGGCCAAGCAGGCCCGCCCCCCGAAGGGTGCGAGCAGCAGGGCGGCAGGGCCGACGCCGGCCAACAGCCGACCGGAAGAAAGGGAGCGGACACCAAGCCCGGAGCCGCGCGGGGCTTGCCGCGCGCACCCGAACGGCACGCAAGAGAGAACAAGGCCACAAGCAAGGCATGGGCGGTGTAAGCGATAGAGGTGACACGCGGAAATTGCCACGCGGCACCTACTGGAGCCTAGAGAAGACAAAGGGGCCCAACAAAGCACGCACCAGGCCCTCCCGACGGTCCAGGGGCGCAATGACAGACGTGCCGCGGCCAAGCCGGCCCCGACCCCCCATGGGGCCCAGGCAGGGAGCCGGCAATGCAAAAAACAAAGGGCAGTACAGGCGAG